CATCTCAAGGGGAGATTGCATATAATCTTTTGGGTTTATTTCCCTGCAACTCTCTCCTCCCTGAGATTTTACCAAGTTGCAACCACTTGAGCAGCTTTGAACTCTAATCTGTCTCTTCAGCCTAATAGAACTGCCACTTACTCTATTCCCTCACCTGTGCGTTGGGTCAGGGTCAGTATAGAGATCACTTTGATGTGCCTCCCTTCTCTTAGGTATTGTCTGCCTCAGTTGCCCTCCAATGCTTTCAAATGTTGTGCTGTATATTAGTCCATCTGTTACAGTTGTTTTCATGGAAGGGTTAGCTCAATAGAATGGCTGAAATCAGAAGTCTTCTATTTTACAATAAATAAAAATCTAAAAGAATTCAAAAGAGTAGAGTAAGGAAATTACAAAAGCAGAAAAGCTGAATTACAGATCACAAACTTCAGTCCTAACCTAAAACCATCCTTTAGTCTTCTGAAGTTTTAAATCTTAAGTTTATAACAAATGGACTCTTTTCTGATTTTCAGTTTGGTTCTTTGGCAAGAGTTTTGTACCTAGACTAAGAAAGTCATGGTTTGGTCTCTGGACTTTTAAATAAAAAGTACGTGATTTGAACAAACCTTTTTTTTTTTTTTATTTTTTTGAGACAGAGTCTCGCTCTTGTTGGCCTGGTCAGGCTAGAGCGCAGAGGCGAGATCTTGGCTCACTGCAACTTCTGCCTCATAAGTTCAAGAGATTCTCCTGCCTCAGCCTCCCAAGTAGCTGGGATTACAGGTGCGTGCCACCATGCCTGGCTAATTTTTTTGTATTTTTAGTAGAGATGGGGTTTCACCATGTTGGTCGGGCTGGTCTGAACCTCCTGACCTTGTTATCTGCCCGCCTTGGCCTTCCAAAGTACTGGGATTACAGGCATGAGCCACTGTGCCCTGCCAACAAAGTTATTTTGATCACTTAGTTTTGTCAGTAGTCAGGGAAGATAGCCCTTAAAGACTGCTTGCTTTAAGTCCTTTAAGGAATAAGCTGGGTATATGTAAATAAATAAATACAATGCAAAGTGCTTGCCCTGTCTTCCTAGTAGTTGATATGACATCACCTTAAGTGTGGAGGCAAAGTTCACAAGGGTGCCTTCCCCATAGGGATGGGTGCTTTTACAAAATTTCCAGCTCTTGGACAATTTCTTCTCATGCTCTATTTTTCTTTTATTCGCTAATTAGAGCTATGAATTAGACAAAAACATGATTGCAATTTCCTCCCCCATCTGGGTCAGATTGTCCTGCCTAACCTCTAAAATATAAGAGAACACAGGTGTTTGAGTGGGATGCTGGGTCGGGAGAGCTGGCTGGCCAGGTGGGCCTGACCAGGGAAAATTCCCTGTGGATAGGCCAGGGAGGAACCCAATCTATCAGAAAGGTTTTGGAATCTGAACAAAAAGAGCTATTTATGTAATTCAAAAGTAGAACAGCATTAAGTTCAGGCAGCCAGATGAATGTGTTCTCATGATTAAAATGAACTTTGGGGCTGAATTTGGGGGCCTGATGGGACATGCCTTCAGGGGCACAGCCTCACTTTGTCTCTGACTCCGCTTTTCTAGGCTTTGGGTGTGACAATCCCCTTCTATTTGTCATATCCTCCTTTAGGTGTTTTACCAATGTCAGCCTGGTTGGTATCCTGCTGATCTCTTCATGGTCACCTTACATCTTTGCTCAGGTGCTTTATGTGCTCAGTATACATTGTTTTTAGAGCGCATTGTTGCTTTCTGTTCCCAAATTTGCAGGGAGGATCTTATTATAATCCCCATGTCCACACTGCATAATGGACCAGGTGCTTTATGTATTTATTTCCTGACCTTCACTCCAGTCTAAAAGGTCATCACCTTCATTTCCACAAAGATGTGGAAGCTGAGGATGATAGAGGCTAAGGATCTGCCCAAGGTTGGAAAACTTGAATCTCACAGAATTTGTGTTCAAACTGAGGGCTTACCCCAAACTCAGGGTTCTGCCTGCTGCTGCTGTATGAGTACCAGACTGTGAATTACTCCAAATTTTTATGTCACCTGTAGAGGAAAGGGGAACTAAAAAAGTGGTTTAGTCAAACAAAAAACTTCCTAATGTGGCAAACCTTTATGTCTTTTTGTCTTAATTTGTGTTTCTCTTTCTATAATTCCATCTGTTTATATCTATTGAACCCCTACTTTGTGCCAGGAACATACAGAACACAAAAGACATGAAGGCTATAATCTAGTAAGAGTATAATTGGTACAACTCTAAAAATAGTAATTTAGCAATATTTTTCATCTTCCAAGTGTGTATAATCATTGACCAGAAATTCTACTTTTGGAATTACTGACATACAAGCATAAAGCCTATAGTCTGACTGTGAATACTGGGATATACATAATAAATGCAAAGTATATAATCCCAAATTGAGATAAGTATCATAAAGGAAAAAAGAGGTGCATTAATAAGGGTTAGACCAGAGAAACAGGGCCAGTATATAAATACATTTACCTATGTGCATATATACATATATACACAGAGAGAGAAGGAGAGCAAAAGGTTTATGACAGGAGTCGACTTATGCAACTGTGAGGACTGGCTAGGCAAGTCTGAAACTGAAGGACAGGCCAGCAGGCTGGAAACTCTTGAGCAAGAGCTGATGTTGCAGTTTGCAGGTGGAATTTTTTCTTCCTCAGGGAAACTTGTTTTTCTCTTAAGAACTTTCAGTTGATTGGATGAAGCCCACCCAGATTAGCATAGATAATCTACTTCAAGTCATTTTAAGTAGATATTATCACACCTACAAATCTCACTAGTAACTCCTAGGTTAGTGTTTGACTGAATAACTGGGTACCATAGCCTAGCCATGTTGACACATAAAATAAACAAACACAAAGAGGTTAAAACTATGTTGCTTAAGATGCATTCAACAGCAAGAAACAGGAAATCTAAATGCAACTGCCTAAAACGTAGGAAATGTATTGGCCTACAGCACGGGAAGGCCAAACATAAGCTGGGGCACCTGGCTCTGGCCATCTACATGGCCCTCCCACATCTGAGGGAGGGATTTGTGCTCAGGCTGCCTGACAAGATGGTGGTGGCAGTTCCAGACCTCATCTTCTGTGTAAGGAAGAGAGAAGTGATCTCTTCCTGCAACTCTCTGAAGAGTGGAAAATTTTTCGGAGGCCTCCGGCAAACTTCATCATATCTCATGAGTGAAAGTAATAGAGACGTTACTATTTGCATTTGTAAAATAAAAAATACTAAAGATACAAAATACTATTAACATTTGCAAAAGAAAAGATACTGTTTAAATTGACTTCTGGTGAGATGGTACCTGTTTCTATTCACTAGCAACAGGTAAGGTGCTTGTTTTCTCGGAGCCTTGCCCACAAAGCGTGTTATCAAACGTTTTGCAATTTGTTGATCTGATAGGCAAAGAATGATATATCAATGTAATTTAAATTTAATTTGTATTTAAATATAGTAATATTGAATTATTTAACTTATAAAACATCTTCTTACATGCTTATGAGGCACCTCTATTTCCTTTTTTTAATAAACTATCTGCTTATATCCTTTTCCCATCCATTTTTTTTTTCTATTGGATTTTTTATCTTTTTCTTACAGTATTAAGTTGGGAGTTCTTTTTATCTGAAGGAAATTATCCGTTTGTGATTAGAGCTATCAACACATTTTTCTCATTTTGTCATTTGTCTTTTCTTGGCTTTGTTTCTGGAAGTTAAAAAAAATTTATATCGTTCAATCTATAAGACTTTTTTTATGGCTTTTTGGTTTTATATAATACTTAGACAGTTCCTCCTTACTCCAAAAACTATTTTTAAAAAACTATTTTTTCTTTATTTCTTTTATTCTTTTATTTTTACATTTAAAACAACATCATCTGGGTTTTGTCCTTTTTTTGTTGTTTTTTTTTCATAAGACTATATGGCTGCCTAAATATTATATGTTGTAATATTCACATTTTCCTTCACTGTTCTGAAATTCTAGTTTTTAGACTTTAACTTATAGAAGAGAAAGCTGCAAGTATTGGTACCTGGGATTTATACAAATGGGAACTTTCCCAGTCTTTGGCAAATGGCAGCAGAGGCTACCTGCTTAAAACAATAGATGCTATGCGCTTTAATTTCTTATTAAGAATTCTGTGTGTGGGCTGGGCATGGTGGCTCACACCTGTAATCCCAGCACTTTGGGAGGCCAAGGTGGGCAGAACACCTGAGGTCAAAAGTTCAAGACCAGCCCAGCCAACATGGTGAAACCCCATCTCTACTGAAAATACAAAAAAATTAGCCAGGCATGGTGGCACACACCTGTAATCCCAGCTACTTGAGAGGCTGAGGCAGGAGAATCACTTGAACCCAGGAGTCGGAGCTTGCAGTGAGTCGAGATCACACTCCAGCCTGGGCAATAAGTGAGACCCCATCTCTAAAAAAAAAAAAAAAAAAAAAAATTCTATGTGTGGCAAGGGTGGAACAGGGAACACACAAGTTGTTATGATGCTTGAGAAACTGAGTTACACAATTTGTTGATTTTTTTGTGTGTGTGATGAGGAGATTACACAAATCAGAGAAGGAATCAAATATAGAATAACCTTTTTTTTGGGCCTCTACTTTCAACTGCGTGCTTAGTTCCTCCTGTTCTCAAGAAGTTCCTTGCTTATTTCTTGGGTAGCACCAATTTTGCTGTTAACTATCACCACACAGAACAAAAATGAGCACAGGGAAAATATATTCAATATTCCATATGAAAGAAAGTAAAGTTCCTAGCCATAAATAAAACATTTTGGTCATTGTTTTGGAGGATGGAGATTATCATCTTGACCAAAGCTAATCTTGGCATCAAAATCTGTAGCTAGTGGGGCCGTCAACGGTCATTGTTTATGAGGGGAGAGAGGAAAGGGAAAAGGAGGAACTGCAGATGGCTGACACAGGGACCGGAGGTTGTGGCTCTGTCACATGTTGGTCTCCGGAAGAGGTCTAGGCCCAGGAGAGGAGCGCCTCTTTGGTTGGGGGAAGAAAGTGCCCAGGGCGGTATGTTCATTATGGGCTTCACCTTCTCCATTCCATGGAGTGCCCAGCAGCTGAGCAGAGCTGGGAGGTGGGCCAGGCTGCCTGCTGGAGCTCATGGAGGCATCCCCACCTAGGGAAGAAGAGAACTTGGCCAGGTGAAGCTTGAAAATACCAGTAACTTTGTCTTCCAAACTACACCTAGCCACCCAGAAAATCTGGAGTGACTTCCCCACTTCTGTCCACACACTCTGCTTTCTTGGCTTGTAGTGGCTTCTTTACCCTTTGTGGGGTCCTTGGTATTAATTTTCATTTGATTTCACCTGTATGTGTTGAAGTGAGGAAAAAAAGGCCAACAGGCAGGAGAGGCACATTATGGTTGTCCCAACTCTGCAAGATAGCCCTGGGCTCCATGTGCCCTCCCCACCTGAGGAAATCTTACGGAGAGCGTGAGTGGAGAGCAACCTGTAGGGCCTTTGCTGCTGCCCTAGGGTGGATTGTTAACCAGGGCTCACTGGTCAGGGCTGATTTTAACTTGTTCTTTTGGCAATCTGGGGTGGAGGGGAGGCAGGGATCTTGTTTCAACTCTGCCATGAGCTAGAGATGCTCTTCCTTAAGAGATCTGGTCTTGTTTTTTCAAACCCTCAGCTCACCCTTATTACCCTCTGACACTCTCTAGGTGGCCCTGTGGCTCTCAGCACCTATCAATGATCCCTTCACTCTTAACATCATGAAACAAAGGTAAGGACCTTTTTTCCACTGTCATAGCTGCTAAGCCCATTGAGTAAAAAAAGGTCAGCTCACTGACACGACTGTATTCTCAAGTAAAATATTAAACCTATTGAAAACCAAAATGAGCGATTGAAGCATAAGATTCAAATCATCCAGGTTTTGAGCCAGCTTGAGGGTGTGCCGGGTGAAAAAACATGAGTCACAGAAGCATCTGTGGCTCTTTTTTCCAAAGAGATTCTCAGGAGGTTTGGTATTTATTCATTTTCCTTTAAAAGGAATGAGAGAGGGACAGCAGTGAGACCAATGAGAATGTGTCTGTGAGACTTTAATTAGTACCCCAAAAATCTACATTTCACATAAGATAAGGCAAGCACTGAAGAAAAAGGGAATAGAGGAAGCAGAGGTCTTGGGGGGTGATGAAGGAACCATTAATCTTATCTTGTTTTTGTTCCGTGTTTGGGAAGACAAGCTAGCAATCTGTTTAAAGGGCTGGTTTCTGTTTAGACCTTAGAAAAGGAAACCAATGACTTTTATCAAGGGAGGAGGTGTCAGATTGTAGCCATGAATTCTGCTTCCAAGTTTCCTCTGGGGATCCTCCGGCCAAGAAAGGGTCCATTCAGTCAGTTGGGGGTCTTAGAATTTTATTTCTATGTTGTGTAAAGAAAGTACTAAATGATTAAGTGCATATAAGACAAATACAATTGCATTCTGAATGTATCTGTGTCTTGAGGGGTAGGAGAAAAAGAAGAAAGAGAATGTAATTGTAGAGAAACGAGGGAGAAAAGAACGAAACACAATATAGGAAAGGGCCATGGATTCAGTGGAGGAAGGTGGCAGTGTTGACTCCTGTATAGCCACCCTCCCTTTTAACATGCTAACATTTTACAAACCCAACTACTTCCAGTATTCCATTGCTTTCATCCTTAACTATTAAGGGTCAGTTCTGATTAAGGTAGCCAAACTGTCACCACAGTGGAAATCATTTTCTAACCTACAAAAGCAAGAACTAAAGTTACCTATATCAAGGTCCCATCAGAAGCCAGAGAACTGGAAAACCCGCCTATTGGCTGAAGGTCATGGTTGTGGTGAGGACTAGGGGGATGATGTATACTTGTATGTGCCAGGAGTCTGTATTTGAAGGTGATCTCAAGGATGCTGGTGCTAGTGAAAATTATTGGCAGGTCTCATAAATATTTGCATTTCAATACAGACCTCTTAAATGCCAAGTCTCCTGGAACTCATGAAGGAATGAGTCACTAATGGTAAAACTTCAGGTGCCACTACAAGTTGAGATTTGTTTCTCGGGGTGAGGGGGAGGAAAAAATGTCCTAGTTTTTATCACATGAATATTTTTTTCTTTTTAAGTTTTAACTCTACCCTAAGACAGAGATGCTCTTCCTTAACAGATCCTTTCTGGAAATATTTACATCAAAACACCTTCCCCTATTTTTCACCTCCTTTCTGACCTTGTGTATATGCTAAGTGCTGTTTATGAAGTATTTGCTGCTGGGGAAAGGGAGAGGTTATAGGGGGTGGGGCCTCCTTCTCTTCAGCTATTACCAGCTTCTCTGGCTCCCATTTCTGCAGGATGACAGGGAAGGTCCCACCCACTGTGACTAACACCCTGGTGAAGCACTTAATTGCTGCCCCCTGAAGCATCTAGTGGCCTACGTGCTACGCCCCCACTCTGAGGATAATCCATAAACTCCTGCTGCTGCAGGGGCTGTTTTGCTGCATGGGGGAGTTTTGGTTTTGGGGATGAGGGTGGAGAATGAGTCACTTTCCACTCGTTTTCTAGAACCTTCCACAGCAGTGTGCCTTTAGAGAGCTGGGTAATGTAGCCTTTCCTAGTTATAGAGCCAGTGACAATTTCATCCCCAAGAACGTAGTTGGTTTGGGGGCAATGATTTACATTTAATGAAAATGGTAATTTTCCACAGCCTCTGGTAAACACAGTTTGGCTTTAGTGTAGTAGAAAGTGCTCGCTTTCTTTCACCCAGCCCAGTGAGTTTTCAAAGTTCAGAAAACTTTCCTCATTACCAGTGGATTAATAACTGCAGTGGAAATGTGTTTGTCAATAGGGTTGAGGGTAATCTGCATGTGGCAGATTCTTCCCACCTAAAGCAAGAAGAACTGGTTTTCTGTGATGGGTTTTGTAACACCAGCAGGGAAGTGCTGCAGCTGGTTTGTTCTGAATTTTCATGCCTGTCTTCTCAGTCCTCATCTTGTGTCAACCATAGCTCTATCTCCCTTGGTTCCAATTCCAGAAACATAATCTTCTTGACATGGCTTTTCTCTGACAATCTGGGTACCCCGGCTGTCTCTGGCCACACCTTGCTTCTAAGGCAAATAAGAAACTTTAATTTGGGCTCCTGAGTGGAAACAACAGACAGTCATCAACAAAAGAGGGCTCAGGCTGGGCAAGGTAGCTCATGTCTATAATCTCAGCACTTTCGGAGGCTGAGGCAGGCAGACCACTTGAGGACAGGAATTCTAGACCAGCCTGACCAACATGATGAAACCCCATCTCTACTAAAAATACAAAATTAGTTGGGCATGGTGGCGCATGCCTATAATCCCAGCTAGTTGGGAGGCTGAGGCAGGAGAATTGCTTGCACCTGGGAGCCAGAGGTTGCAGTGAGCCAAGATAGCGCCATTGCACTCCAGCCTGGGCAACATGAGTAAAACTCTGTCTCTAAAAAGAAAAAAAAAGAACAGAGGGCTCTTGCCTGGGCTTGCTCAGAAAATCCCCACTGCAGAGGCGGGTGCAGCTGTTGCTCCAGCTCCTGATTATTCATCTCTTGTCAAATTAGCAGGAAGTTTAATTCTATTAAATATTAACCCTTGTCCTGGAGGCCTCGGTTGCTTTAGTAGAGAGAATTGAGGATAGAAGGTAGTGGAAAAGAGAAAGGGAAAGAACATCTAGAAGGCAAACAGAGGGAGAGACATGAAGTCAGGGAGGATCAGAAGGTGGAGGGAAGAGAATATGAGGGAGAGGATTGCAGTTCAGCAGGTTAGGGGGGTAGCTTGATCTCATCAACTGCTTTTTGTTGATCAGCTCTCTTGCCACTGTTCCTTGCTCTGTCAGAGATTTCACCCTTATTATCTCAGAAAAAAAATATAATTACACAGGGAAAAAAGTCAGGTTAAGAATGGCATGTACAGTATGATTGCCTTTTATTTTTTATTTTTATTTGTTTATTTATTTATTTTTTGAGATGAAGTTTTGCTCTTGTCACCCAGGATGGAGTGCAATGGTACTATCTCAGCTCACTGCAACCTCCTCCTCCCTGGTTTAAGCAATTCTCCTGCTTTAGCCTCCTAAGTAGCTGGGATTACAGGTGCCTGCCACCATGTTCTGCTAATTTTTGTATTTTTAGAAGAGATGGGGTTTCACCATGTTGAGCAGGCTGGTCTCAAACTCCTGATCTCAGGTGATCCCTCCACCTCTACCTCCCAAAGTGCTGGGATTACACGTGTGAGCCACTAAGCCTGGCCGATTCCCTTTTAAATATGTTTGCATAAATATCTTAGAGGCTATAAATAAACATTTCATTATTTTGGAATGATAGAATTATAAGTTCATTTTTGTTTTCTTCTTTTTTGTTTATCTATATTTTCTATAATGAATATATATGCATATAATAGTAAAGGTCAAGTTATATTAAAATTGAGGCATGCTGGGCGTGGTGGCTCGTGCCTGTAATCCCAGCACTTTGGGAGGCTGAGGTGGGTGGATCACCTGAAGTCAGGAATTTGAGACTAGCCTGATCAACATGGAGAAACCCTGTCTCTACTAAAAATACAAAATTAGCTTGGCATGGTGGTACATGCCTATAATCCCAGCTACTCAGGAGGCCGAGGCAGGAGAATCACTTGAACCTGGGAGGCAGAGGTTGTGGCCAGCCAAGATCGTGCCATTGCACTCCAGCCTGGGCAACAAGAGCAAAACACCATTTCGGAAAAAAAAAAAAAAACATTGAGGGGAAGCCAGGCACATTGGCTCATGCTTGTGATCCCAGCACTGTAGGAGGCTGAGGCTGGAGGATCATTTGAGAGCAGCCTGGGCAACTTAGAGAGACCCCCCCCATTTCAAAAATTAATGATAATTAATAAAATTGAAAGGAAAGGACAGAGACAGAGGAAGAAAACTGTGGAGTTGGGAGAAGGAGGACACAATGTTTTTTGAGGCATGTGATGATCCAGATATTCTATTGAACTATATTTCCCAGTGTTAATTGCCTGCTCTTTGCATTTAGTAGCTATTTGACTACTATGTTCAGTGTTTTAAGGGTTCTAATTCTTACATCTTTAGAACTGTATTTTTAAACCAGAGGTACATATGGGAATCGGCAAGGAAACTTTTAAAAAATGTTTGTGCTAGTGTTTCAGAATTTTGCTTCTGATTCAGCTAAAACCAGGTTCTTGTCACATGACCAAGAAAATTTAGGCACGTGGACACATTGAAAGGTGAATAGAGAAGGATTTTATTGCGTGAAAAGGGAAAACAAAAAGAAAAAACTCAGCAAAGGGAGGTGGAGTCCCGCTAACAGGATCCCACCTCACAGACTGAATACCAGGGCTCCTCCCCTTACCTGTGGCTTCACCATGCTCCCCCAGGGCTCACGTGGGCATGCTCAGACAAGGCCCTGGGCATGTTCCTTCACCTACACAAAAGCATCTGATGTAAATACTTGTGGGGAGGGTGGGAGATTCTCCCCTTTTTATCTGCCTAGGCATTTGGCTGGCTGTCTAGGGCCCTACCCTCAGAAGTTCTGATTCAGAATGCCTAGGTAGGGTCTGAGTAGGAGTCTTTGAAAACCTTTATCAATGTTCAGATACTCATCATGGTGGAAAGTTCCTTGGTGTATAAGACACTGAGGTACTGAATAAAAATATTAGAACTTCTAATTTTATTTTCTATTGCATCCTTTAAAAAATCTCTACATACTTGTATGTTCATATTACACTGATATCAATATGACATGTATAACCTGCAAATAAATACATTTATATATTTGAGGGTATGCTGAAATGTTTTTGTTATAAGGATGTACAATAAAAAAATTAGGAAACAACTAATGGCTTCAGCAGATTCATTATGAGTGGGTTAGCTCGTGTCCAACTGAACTGAAAACTATTCTCTGGGCTGAGGTAACAATAACCTGAGAATTTCACACAACAGATGATGACTCATTGTGACCTACTTCATTTCCTGCTTATAGGTGTATTATTTTTTATTGGTCTTGTGTCATCGTTTGTGGGTACATTACCTTCTCCACGTCAGCCACAACTGTCTCCTTTGTAAATACACATGCACATACATGCAGGTATGACAGAGCTCAGCACTTGGGAAACACTCAAAGCTTTAAAGGCTGATCATTATTTTGCAGTTTTTACATGTTATACTCTCATAGCTGCTTTGATAAAAATGAACTAGATTATCTTAAAAAGTAAAACAATCCTCAGTAATTAATAGTTTGTAACTAAAACATTGATTAAACAATAAAACAACAGAAAAAAATTAAAGAGTGATAAGTAAATCTCCCAACTTCCAGGTAAAGATGGAGAACAGAACACACACACACACACACACACACAGAGTCTCCTTTTTCTTCCTTCTGATAAAAACAGAAGAAATGATAGCAACACTTTTTTTCAACTCCCCATAGCAACATTTTGAAAGCTGGAAAGTAAGAAGTGTGGCCAATGATATAACAGACATGGGAAAACTGAATCCTAAGTCAGCAGTGATGAAATTTGAGAAACAACCAGAATCCCACAAGGGCTCAGGAATTGGCAGTGCCAGGTATCTGGAAGTGGGGTGGGGCATCCTAAAACCCGGAGTGGTTCAAAGTCTGTTTAGGAAGCACTCTGACTCCCAGGTCCCTTCCCAGTCTGCACCAGGCTGGTAGCCTATCCCCACCACAAAGTCTAGAACAGAAGGTCTACCAATAGGAGAACACTGGGCAGAGTTGAGGGCTGGATGCTGTGTTGGAAACTGAGAAATTAAGTGGACAGACACTGAGACCCACTGCTCTTTCCCCAGTGAGCTCCCATGATGCTGGTTGCCAGAATTATATCCTTTGAGCATGAGCCTGGAAGAGTCTTCTAAGGGGAATTTGATCTCCACAAGAGTAAAAATTTAAATGCACTGTTGTGTGGGTCCTTCAGCCAAATAACCCAGCCAGAGCATGTTGTGGAGCCTCCAGACAACAAGGCCTAATTGGTCCAAAATCTCTACTCAGCTTTTTAGCTCCGATTTTAAATACTAACAGATAATCAAGGTTTAATAGACACTGAGGAAAACCTCTCACATGAAATACAGCAACCAAGAGGAATAGGAAAAAGCAACTTCAAGGAAAGAGAGACTGTACAGGGTGAAGAAAATGTCAAATACCCTCTGATTAATATCCTCAGAGATAAGATAGATAACTATCAAAAAAGAATATAATGTTAGTAAAAGGAACATTCAGGGAACACATATGACCTCTTGGAAATTAGAAATATGATTAAAAAATTAAAAATTCAATAAGAGAAAATGAAGAAAAGCAAATCTCTGAAATTAGAGCAAAAGAGAAAGAAATGTACAAATGAAAGGAAATATAAGAAAATCAGGAAAACATAGCTGGGCATGGTGACAGGCACCTCTAATCCCAGCTACTTTTAGAGGCTGAGGCACGAGAATCACTTGAACCCGGGAGGCAGACGTTGCAGTGAGCCGAGATCACACCACTGCGCTCCAGCCTGGGTGACAGAGCAAGACTCTGTCTCGAAAAAAGAAAAGAAAAGAAAATCAGGAAAACAGAACAGAAGGTTTAATATTGCAAATAGGAGTTCTAAAAAGAGTGAACAGAGAAACCAGAGGAAAGAAAGTCATTAAAGAAATAATTTCTCACAACTAACAAGCATGCATTTTTGGAATGAAAGGGCTACCAAATGCCAGCAGAAAGAGAATAGACCCACACTAAAGCACACCAGTGTGATATCTCGAAACAGTGAGGACAAAGAACAGATGCTACAGGCTTTCAAAGAAGAGGAGCAAACAAGTCCTTCCTAAAGGATGACAAATCAGAATGGCATCAGACTTCTCAATAGCAACAGAAGGCCAGATGGCAGTGGCTTTCAGAATTCTCAAGAAAAACTGTTTATTCTCTAGAATTCTATGCTTGGTGCAAAGAATCCATCAAGTGTCAGACTAGAGTGAAAACAAACATTTTCTGACATCCAAGTTCTCGAGAATTTATATCCCATGCCCCTGCCTTAGGAAGTTCCCAAACATACGTCAAAATAATAAACTAAGAAAGAGGACTCAAAAGTTCAACCAGGAATGAGGCAAGAGAATCTCCGTGATGATGGTGAAGGGAGATTCCAAAATGAGAGCTGTGTCTCAGGTGCAGGTTAGAGCATGCTATAAGGCTATGGGAGAGATTTTTAAAAAAATTTTTAGGAGACTGGTGAAATTATTAGAACATCTGAAAATTCTGAATGCCTTGACAGCAGAGATAGACAAATAGCAAATAAATACTGTACATAGAAAATGAAACAAACAAAAACCAAAACAGTTATTAGCTCCAGGAGCAACAAAAAAAGGTGTGCAGGAGGCCAGGCACAGTAGTTCATGCCTGTAATCCCAGCACTTTTGGAGGCAGAGGTGGGTGAATCGCTTGAGACCAGGAGTTCAAGACCAGCTTGGGCAACAAGGTGAAACCCTGTCCCAAACCCCCCAACCCCCAAAAAACAAACAAACAAACAAAATTATCTGGGCTGGGTGACAGACCAAGACCCTATCTCAAAGTGAAAAAAAAAAAAAAAAAGTGTTCAGGAAAGGGAAAGTGGTCATAGTTTACTGCATGGCTTAGCTGTGACTATTGCTATAACACATACATTGAACATCACCTTAACAGCATGCATTACAACATAACTCTGTTGGAAGGATGGGAAATGGGGAAGGTTGAGTGTGTTCCACTGGGAAAGCAGGAGGAAAGACACCAAATCCTAATCTTCTACCCTGGGGAAAAATCAGATAATAGCTATAGTTGAAAAATCAAGGAACAGCATTTCAAGCATATTAATGTAGAGACCTGGAAGTGAATACCAAAAGAATTATCTAAAAGCTGAAAGTGTAGAAAGTGGGGAGGAGAGACTAAGGGACATCTGCTTTTTTATAACAAGACTTGTTGTTTGACATTTGATTAACTGCATGTATAACTCTGGGAGGAAAAGAGGAAAACAAAAAAAGGGTCTATTAAAATTGTATTTAGGAAAAAAAAGAAAAGGCAAATTCTTTTCCTCTCTGCAGAGATTCCAATTCTCCTGTCCCAACTCACTAGAGACCCTCACTGTTCTTGGTGTATCCTTCCAAAAATATCCTATGGGGGTCCACTTAGGATTGCTTCATGAACTGCAGGGCTGAATGAGTCCCCTGAGCCACCATAGACTTTTGAAGTTGAGACATCTAGGCCACTAGCCTCATGTTTTCAGGCTCCCCATATATTAACAAAGGAAATGTTGCAAGAATGGAATTATAAACTGGCATGTTTTGCATGTTTTTACATTAACAAACACCTTATCAGATACCAAGAGATGTCAAGAGCCTAAATTTCAGGACATATGTGAATAAGAGGCCCAGGCCAAGTGGCCCTCCGGCATCCACTTACTCCCCCTAACACCTACTCTAATCTGACTTACCTTGTCTCCAGACCCTTTTCTAATGTTGCAAGGTCTTCCCCAGCCCTGCCAGTTGTTGTGCTGTGTCCTTCCCTGTTACAGACGGTATATTATTCTGCATTTGCCTTCTCTGAACTGCATTCAACTCCCAGCAACTCCGCTGGCACATCCTCAGCCTGCTGTCACCTGTCCTCAGAATCAATAAACCCTCCATCCTAACAACCTTCATTAATGAATTAAAATGTCCTCCTCCACCTGTTTTCCATTTGGTGCCACATTCACATTGAATTGGCATGCTGGCTATTCCATTCTGCAGGTCACAGATAAAATATTACATCACCAGGCCCCATCTCTGTGCATATCACCTGAGTTCTGTCCTCCCAGATTAATGATAACCCACCAGTACTCATTCTCTAGGAATGCAACCACCTTGTAGTTATGTTGGTTAGAATTTAAATTGTAGACCACTGGTGCGTAAACGTGGCTGCATATTAAAGATGCCTAGGGAGATTTTTAAAATATGAATTCTGGATCTTACCATAATCCTCTCATACTGTGCTAAAAACTTGGCCTGAAAAATGAGCCCAGTCACCTTAGATGTACAATCTTCTTTGTCTATTAAAGAGAAGAAAAGTAAAATATTGGGGTGACTTGCAGGGCCTTGCAAGTCACCCCAATATTTTATAAAAAGGGGAATCTGTCAGACTTTTAAGTTCTACTTTCCTTTTCTTGCATTCTAATGAAAAACAAAATTTGAGAACTTAGTCATGGGTTACTTTCCTGTTTCTGCTATCCAAAAAAATCACGAGAAATTTAGTGGTTTAAAACAATGCAAATTTATTATCTTGCAGTTCTGGAGGTCAGAAGTTTAATGTGGGTCTTGCTGGGCTAAAATCAAGGTGTCAGCAGCAATGTGTGTCCCTTCGTAGCTGTAGAGTAGAGCATCTTTCCTTTTCAACATTTTTTTTTTGAGGTGGAGTCTTGCTCTGTCCCCAGGCTGGAGTGCAGTGGCGCAATCTCGGCTCACTGAAACTTCTGCCTCTTAGGTTCAAGCAATTATCCCTGCCTCAGCCTCCTGAGTAGCTGGGATTATAGGTGCCGCCACCATGCCCAGCTAATTTTTTATACATTTTTTAGTAGAGACGAGGTTTCGCCATGTTGGCCAGGCTGGTCTTGAACTCCTGACCTCAGGTGAGCCACCTGCCTCGGCCTCCCAAAGTGCTGGGATTACAGATGGGAGCCACTGGGCCTGGCCACCTTTTCCAGCTTCTAAAGGCTGTCCACATCCCTTGGCTCATGGCCCCACTTCCCTGGCAATGTGGAGCTAAGTCCTTCTCAAGCTATTATCTCTCTTGATCTCTCTGCTGCCTCTCTATTCAGCTTTTAAGGATCCTTGTGGTTACGTCAGTCACCCTCAGATAACCCAGGATAATCTTCCCATCAGTCTGTCAGTTAATCAGTAGATTAGCAACCATGTGACCTAACATATTCACAGTGTCAAGAAGTAGGATGTGGACGTCACTGCGGGATGGGTGGATATTATTCTGTTTATCACAAGACCATATTCAGTTTTCTTCTAATAATTTTTAGGTATGATACAAGTAGATATAAAATCATGTTGCTAGAATTCTTCATGAAGGTCACAGGTCCCCTGGGGACAGTGATACACCCTGCCTTATACCTGAAAGCCTGGTTCTAGAGCCAATGGAGCTGTTGTAACCAGGGTCTGGTCTCACATCAGCCTGGAGAGTGGTGGTCACCTTTTGGCTTTAGAGAACCCCCACCTTATTTGACCAGTGACCCCACCCCCCATCATCATGAGATCACTGTGCTCAGTGTAAGCTGGAAATCTATTTTCCATGGGTACTAGGGGAGGGAGGTACTAGGATGGTGGCAGTGAGACCATCTCTGGGTTAACCTCATTCTGCTGTCAAGGTCTATGGCTGCACAAAGCCCTTTAAGCCATAGGCTCCCGTTGGGGAGCCCCTGGTACCTTCCTATGTTTCCCAGTGAATCAGAAGCTGAAGTAGTGGGGCCCAGGAATCAGTATTTTTAAAACTTCCAGTTTAATTCTGTGTACAGTTGATGTAAGAACCACTGGTTTAGACCACATTTTAAAATTTAATGAATATATTGTAAGGAATACAATTTAAACCTTACTAAATTCAAGATGTACTAGTAGCATCCATTACTTTTAATTATTTTCTTTTTCAGAGACAAGGCCTTTCTCTGATACCAGACTAGAGTATAGTGCTGTGATCATAGCTCACTGCAGCCTCAAACTCCTGTGCTCAAGCAATCCTACCACCTCAGCTTCCTGAGTGGCTAGGACTACAGGCATGTACCACCATGCCCAGCTGTATTACTTTTTTTTTACATACCAGAAATATATGTCTCACTCTCTGATACAAGAAAATCTGATGAAAAAATGCTCTATTTAAGAAAATCCAATGAGTTGAAACCAAACTTACAAAAATAATAATTTCCTTTAAGCAGCAAATTCCCCTGGGTCACTCAAACCATCAATTTGCAAAAATTTGATTTATGTATTGCTTTTTAGGAACATTTCTATTGCATTAAACACAGTGCACCTGAATCTTTTTTTTTTTAATTGTACTTTAAGTTCTGGGGTACATGTGCACATCTTGCAGGATTGTTGCATAGGTACACACATGCCATGGTGGTTTGCTGTCCCCATCCCCCCGTCACCTACATCAAGCATTTCTCCCAGTGTTATCCCTCCCCAACCTCCCTGCCCCCCCGTTGTCCCTCCCCTAGCCCTCACCCACCAACAGACCCCAGTGTGTGATGTTCCCCTCCCTGTGCCCATGTGTTCTCATTGTTCATCACCCGCCTATAAGCGATAACGTGCAGTGTTTGTTTTTCTGTTCTTGT